TGTAGTTCACTGTCACTTCCTTTGATTGCCGCAAAGCCTGCCTGGTTGGTTTCATCGCCCCAGGCCCCGTCTCTGTCAGTTCATCTTGCAGATCGTAGATGGCTTCATTTTCCCAGATGCTCCTCTTCACGGTTCCACTTTCCTGCTTTAAACTTTTTAAAAAAGTTTTACTGAGCTATAACTCACATGCCATACATGTGAATTGTAAATGCCCATTTAAAGTGTACAATTCAATGGGTTTTAGTCTAGTCACAAAGTTGTGTACCCATCACAATTTTACAATCACTCCAAAAAGACACCTCGTACCCCTTAGTTGTCATCCCCTGGATTCCCTCTGCCCCCAGCCCCTGGCAACCACTAACCTACATTCTCTCTGTGGATTGGCCTCTTCTGGACATTTCTTATAAATGGGATCTTACAATATGTGGCTTTTGGCGTTTGGCTTGTGTCACTTAGCACGATAGTTTCAAAGTTATCCACATCGTAACATGTATGAGTACTTCATTACGTTTTATTGCGGAATAACATTTTACTGTAGGGATATTGCCATGTTTTATTTATCCAGTCAACCACTGGTGGGCATTTGGGTTGTACCTACTCTTTGGGTATCATGAATAATGCCGCAACGAACATTTGTGTACAAGTTTTCACATGGACATATGTTTTTATTTCTCCTGAGTGTGAACCTGGGAGCGGAATTGCTGGATCATGACTCTGTTTAACTGTTTGAGGCCAAGAAATCTTAAACGCTCCTTAAACTCCTTGGTCTAGTTTCCAGGGCCCTTTCCATCTGTTCCCAGTTTCTGCTGTTCTGAGTCACAAACCGGCTGCTTCTGCCAGCCGGGCGCCCCGCGGCAGTCTGCACCACCCGTCTGTTCGTGCTGCTCCCCTGGCCAGGATGTGGCCCGGGGCAGAGCTGCCCCCCCATGTTATTCTGAGACACACAGCATTTTAAAAAATCTGAATTATTTGTGCACATTTAAAAATCATGGGAGATTATACTTAACCATACAAACTTTTACATTCTCCTGGAAACAATGAAAGATGTGGTCATCCTGGGCCCACACTCCCATGAGTGCAGCTGAGTGTCTGACTGTCCCCTCGCCACCTGACTGCAGCTGAGTGTCTGACTGTCCCCTCGGGGGACACCAGCCTGACCCCGTCCTCCTCACTGCTGCTGCCCCGGTAGGCGTTGGAGCCCAGCCTCTGACCTAGAGCGCTCAGCTCGGCTGGCTTCTTCCCCACCCCTGGGCTCCGCTCCTGAGAGCCAGCTGAGCTCGTGCCGCTCGGCTTCACGCAGAGTTCGCAGTAGGAACTTAAAAGGGTGGTCTCCGTGGTCAGGATTGCAGGCTCCGGGGCCAGCTGCCTGGGCTTGAATCTCATTTTTACCTCTTTGCCAGCTGTGTGACCTTGGGCAAGTTACCTAACTTCTCCGAACCTCCGACTCCTTACATTTTAACATCAGGGTGTTAGTAGATCCTCCTTATATGTCATTATTGGGAGGAACAAATGGACTAATATACGTACATTGTTATTATCATTATTATCTTTTTCTTAATGTCTTCTCAACAATATCGTAAAAACATGGAGGACCAGACGCTGGGGAGCTAGGGTAGCTCAGCCACTGTCTTCTCACACGCTTGCCATTTTCGTTGCACGATCCAGTTGGACTGTCCTGCTCATTTCAGGGTTAGCATCCCTGGCCACAGCTGTGCCCTCAAGCCAGGGCAGGCAGCTCTGGACTGGCCCCCAGCCAGGGTGGCCGCTGGGAAGGAGTGTGGCAGGCCCAGCAGGAATGAATGGGATCCACTATTTTTTATCTGTCCATCCATGATAACACCTCAAAAACCTTGGCTGGAGCGCGCGGTGGGCTCACGCCTGTCATCCCTAGGGCACTTCTGGGAGGGGTCCGTGCGGGCGATTGCCGAGCAGGCGTGTCGAAACCGCCTGATCAAGAGCGAGGACGCGGCACCGTCTCTCACTATGAAATAGAAAAATTAATTGCCAACTAATATAATAGACCGAAAATTACCCAGTCTCGGTGGCGGCATGGCCCTGTAG